AGACGGGGTTTCACCATGTTGACCAGGATGGTCTCGATCTCTTGACCTTGTGATCCACCCGCCTCGGCCTCCCAAAGTGCTGGGATTACAGGCTTGAGCCACCGTGCCCGGCTGGTACTAGATATTATAAGGAATCTAAAGATGATTTGAATTATAGGAGAGGATGTGCAAATACTGTACTACACCACTTAAAATAAAGGCCTTGAGCATCTGTGGATTTTGGTATCCAGGGTTGTCCCAGAACCAATTCTCCATGGATACCTACTGCCAACTAACTTGTCAGAGGTCACAATCTCCCTTCCTGCTAGATGCAAAATCCTGGAGACAGTTTAAGAGAGCTGGTATTAACAGAATTCCAGGTGGAGGCCCAAGTCCTCAATTCTTACAGTAATGACAGCAATGAACTCTGAGTGCCTGGCAAACGCTTGACAAACATGAGGGAGGACAGCACAGGTGTAGGTGTTCTATCCTGTTTTATTTGAATCTCTTGTTTTCTATAACCAAAATCCACATTCTCCGGTTCAGTCCCTCCTTAAGTTAAATCCACTTTCCAGAGGTAAGCATTTTTAATTATTTCAACAGTTTTGTTCCTGGTGTTTACTTCCATATTTCTAAATAACATGTGTGAACCCTAAAAATCTGAGACAGATCTCAGTTAATTTAGAAAGTTTACCAAGGTTGAGGAGGGCATCTGTGACACAGCCTCAGGAAGTCCTGATGACATGTGCCCAAGATGGTTGGCGGACAACTTGGCTTTATACATTTTTTTTTTTTTTTTTAGATGGAGTTTCGCTCTTGTTGCTCAGGCTGGAGTGCAATGGTGCGGCCACAACCTCCACCTCCCCAGTTCAAGCGATCCTCAGCCTCCAGAGTAGCTGGGATTACAGGCATGAGCCACCATGCCTGGCTAAGTTTTTTGTATTTTTAGTAGAGATGGGGTTTCTCCACGTTGGTCAGGATGGTCTCCAACTCCCGACCTCAGGTGATCCGCCCGTCTTGGCCTCCTAAAGTGTTGGGATTACAGGCATGAGCCACCACGCCCAGCGGCTTTATACATTTTAGGGAGACATGAAACATCAATCAATATATGTGAGAAGTACATTGGTTCCGTCCAGAAAGGCAGGTACAACTTGAAGCAGGGAGGGGGCTTCCAGGTCACAGGTAGGTGAGACACAAATGGTTGCCTTCTTTTGAGTTTTTGATAAGCCTTTCCAAAGAAGGCCATCAGAATATGCATCTATCTCAGTAGGCAGAGGAATGACTTTGAATAGAATGGGAGGCAGGTTTGCTCTGAGCAGTTCCCAGAAGCCTGACTTTTCCATTTAGTTTAGTAATTTTGGGGCCCCAAGATTTTCCTTTCACACAGGCCTGGTATGGTTTGTCCCCACCAAATCTCATGTTAAATTGTAATCCCCAGTGTTGGAGGTGCGCCTGGTGGGAGGTGATTTGATCATGGGGGTGGGTTTCTCATGAATGGTCTAGCACCATCCCCTTGGTGCTGTTCTCATGATAGTGAGTGAGATCTGATTGTTTAAAAGTGTGTAGCACTTCTTCCCTCTCTCTCTTGCTCCCTGCTGCCACCACGTAAGACGCCTCGCTTCCTCTTTGCCTTCAACCACATTTGGAAACTTCCTGAAGCCTCCCCAGATGCAGAAGCCACTATGCTTCCTTTACAGCCTGAAGAACTGTGAGCCAATTAAACCTCTACACTGTTATGTTCTCACTCATAGGCAGGTGTTGAACAATGAGGACACATGGACACAGGGAGGGTGGCATCACACACTGGGGTCTGTCGGGGGCAGAAATAGGGGACAGCGGGGGGTGGGGAGTTGGGGAGAGATAGCATGGGGAGAAATGCCAGATATAGGTGATGGGGAGGAAGGCAGCAAAGCATACTGCCATGTGTGTACCTATGCAACAATCTTGCATGTTCTTCACATGTACCCCAAAACCTAAAATGCAATAAAAAAATGACTAGTTTAGGTATCTCTTTATAGCAATGCAAGAACAGACTAATACAATGCCTATATGCTATTTGTTGATGTTTCTGTTTCTTTCTTTTTTTTCCTTGACAGAGTCTCGCTCTGTCACTCAGGCCACAGTGCAGTGGTGCGATCTTGGCTCACTACAATCTCTGCCTCCCATGGTGAAGCGATTCTCCTGCCTTAGCCTCATGAGTACCTGGGATTACAGGTGTGCGCCACCAAGCCTGGCTAAATTTTCGTATGTTTAGTAGAGACGGGGTTTCATCATGTTGGTCAGGCTGCTCTTGAACTCCTGACTTTGAGATCCACCCACCTCGGCCTCCCAAAGTGCTGGGATTATAGGCGTGAGCCACCACGCCTGGCCCTTGTTTCTGTTTGGGATATTATTCTTTAATGTCCTAGTATGAAAAAAGAGATTTTAGCTTTAATCCTGTCTCACCTCCACAATGCATCCTTCTGTACCCTTCATTCTCCTAATATGGCTATATCACAACTCTAAATCTGTTATCAGCATTTAAAGTATTATGATCTTGCCAGCATTATTCATGGCTGAGCTTATAGCATTCTATGATTACATTTTATTTGTTGTAAACCACTTGTTTACCTTGGAGGTAATCATTGTCTATGCACCTCAATCCCTGCCCTGGCCACACACACACTTATTTGTGTATTTGCTTGATATTCTATGAACACCTATGATTATGGTCAAACTCTCTGATAGACATGTAAATCTCTTGAAACATTCAAAAACATCAGAGATATTGATCTCAGGGGGTGTGTATGATTTTTTTTTATTTTTCTTTTTTTTTTTTTTTTTTTNTTTTTTTGAGACGGAGTCTCACTCTGTCGCTCAGGCTGGAATGCAGTGGCATAATCTCGGCTCACTGCAACCTCTACCTACCATGTTCAAGTGATTCTCTTGCCTCAACCTCCTGAGTAACTGGGATTACAGGTACATGCCCCCACACCTGGCTAATTTTTTTTATTTTTAGTGGAGGTAGGGTTTCCAGGCCATCTGAAACTCTTGTCTTCCAGTGATCTGCAAGCCTCGGCCTCCCAGAGCTGGGATTATGGGCATGACCACTGTGCCCCACCTTTTTTTTTTTTTTTTTTTTTTTGTTGGGTTTTTTTTTTTTTTTTTTTTTTTTTTTGTGGGCAGGGGAGGGTGGGTTCTTGAAAACATCCTTCCTGGAGCTGTCCAGTTTTCTGTCTGAATCTGAGCTTCTTGCTCTCTCTACTTGCTACACAGCAGCCATCCTGGTAAATTCCTTTCATCTCTCCTGTGCTGCATGTCCTGTTTCCTAGTGATATGGTTTGGCTGTGTCCCCACCCAAATCTCAACTTGCATTGTAGCTCCTAGAATTCCCATGTGTTGTGGTAGAAAGACAGAGGGTGGTAATTGAATCATGGGGCAAGTCTTGCTCATGCTATTCTTGTGATAGTGAATAAGTCTCCTGAGATCTGATGGGTTTAGCACGGGTTTCCACTTTTGCTTCTTCCTTTTTCTCTTGCCACTGCCATGTAAGAAGTGCCTATCACTTCACACCATGACTCTGAGGCCTCCCAGGCATGTGGAACTGTAAGTCCAATTAACCCTCTTTTTGTTTGCAGTTTCAGGTACGTCTTTGAGTAGCATGAAAATGAACTAATACACCTAGATCTCATGTCCTCCTCTTTCTTCTTTTATGGAGCACATCTTCCAATAGCTTCTTGAAAAGATACATAGGGGACTAAACTTTCTGAGATTTTTGCATAAGAATTCAAAATGTCATTATTCTACCCCCACACTTGATTGAGAATTTGGTTGGGTTTCTGAGATTTTTGCATAAGAATTCAAAATTTCATTATTCTAACCTCACATTTGATTGAGAATTTAGTTGGGTAGATTTTTGTGTTAGAAAGCATTTCCCTTCAAAATTTTGAAGGCCTGTGCTCCATTATTATCTGTGTTGCTGTTGAGAAATCTGAAGTCATTTTCATATTTCTGTTTATTTGAACTTTTTGTTGTTGTTGTTTATTCTTTGGCCTATTTTTTTCTATCTGGAAGTTTTCAGAATTTCCTTGTATTCTCAAGAGTATGAAATTTCAGAGATGAACTTGGAGAAAGGTAGTTGTTTTTCATTGTAGTGGGCAATCCATGAGCCCTTTTAACCTGCAAACTCATGTCTTTAAATACTGAGATATTTTTTTCTGAGGAGGCAGACCCATACAGATTCACTGTCGGTAACTCAGATTCCTTCTACTGCTAACATATTTCGTGCTGTGAGACTCAGATATTTGCCACCCTTAACACATGCACAAATCTCATAAGGTTTTAAGGAGGTTTACAAATTTGCGTTGGGCTGCATTCAAAGCCGTCCTGGGCAGCATGTGGCCCGTGGGCTGTGGGTTGGAGAAGCTTGATCTAAAACAGAAAGAACACTGACAACTCAAAGGTAAGAAAAACAACCACATCTTAAAATTGGCAAAATAGTTGAACCTATATTTCACCAAAGAAGATATTTCATTCCTAGGT